GGCTCGGCGTGCGCAGCCCCGCGGCCCCAGCCCCGTTCGCACGACCTCTCCCACCCCGAGCATCCTCCCAGCGCGCCGGGATGGGCCAACGGCCGCCGGCCGTGCCGGGCTCCAGGGGAGGAGGAGAGCAGCCGGGCTGGGAAAGGGCTTCCCAAAAGTTCAGCTGGTTTGGGGTGGGTGGAGGCGACGTCCCGCAGTGGGGCAGGGAGATGGGGCTGACCCCGCCGCTGCGGAGGCGAGATGTCCCCGGCCATGTCCCCCGGCGACGGGGGCACCGGCCTGGGTGATGGCACCCCAGCGTGAGGCGTGATATACTGGTGGGGGTCACCGAGCACTGGTGGGGGTCACCGTGCACTGGTGAGGGTCACCATGCACCATCACAAGTCACGATGCACCAGTGTGGGTCATGATGGACCGGCGTGGGTCACGATACCCCGGTGTGGCTCACGATGCACTGGTGGGGGTCACGACACCCCAGTAAGGGTCACCACACGCCGGTGTGGGTCACCGTGTGCCATCGTGAGTCATGGTACAGCACTCTGAGTCACGACACACCAGTGTGGTCACAACACGCCGCCATGAATCATGACACACCAGTGTGGATCGCAATACCCTGCTGTGGGTCGCAATACACTGTCACGAACCACAACACGCCAGTGTGGGTCACGATGCTCCACTGCGACCCATGGTTACGCTTGTGTGGGTCACGATACCGCGGCGTGGGTCACAGCGGTGTGGGTCACAACCCCCCAGCGTGAGCCGGGTGGGCAGCACAACCCTATACGAGACACCAGCGAATCCCCTACAGCAGCCACTGGCCAATCCCCACCCCACCGGGGTCCCCCAGCGCCGGGCTCCGTCCCCGTCCCCCGTCGGGTTGAACGTCCTCGGGGCCGGCGGGCGGCAGCTGCAGAGATTTATTCTTTGGGGTTGTTTGGGGTTTTTTTTATTTTAATTATCGTTATTTATTCCTTCCCGGGCGCTGCCATAAATAACCGCCCCCTCCCAGACATCGTGTTCCCGCTCCGCCGGCACACATTCCTCCCGGCCGCGCTGACGGCCGTCACGGGCCGCGGCTCTTGTCCCCAGGGACGGGGGGGACGGACACCCCCTGGGACCCCCCACCTCCCCCCCGACAAAAAGTGACATTTTTTTCTTATTACAAAATATCTTTTATTGTTAAAAGGCCACGGCGCCGCCTTGGGGGGGAGGTCTGCCAGGTTGCCACCGGGCCACCGGGGACAGGGGTCGTGGCGCGGTGGCACGTGCCCCCCACCCTGGGCCCCCAGGGAAATCTGGCAGCGAGAGAAGGCAGGGGGGAACCCATCATCGCTTTGGGGGGCTTCAAAGCCCCCCCCAAACCCCAGGGACGCTCCAGGCGGTGAGTGCGGCCGGGAGGAGGAGGAGGAGGAGAAGGAGGAGGAAGGGGGCGGCCAGAGCCCCTCACCAGGGCGTCGGGGCGCGGCGGCGGCAGAGGAGGCGGCGGAAAGCCTTGCGGAAGTCCTGGTTGAAGACGGTGTAGATGACGGGGTTGAGGGAGCTGTTGCAGTAACCGATCCAGAAGAAGAACTGGAAGACGCCGTCGGGGACCTTGCAGCGCCGGGGGCAGAGCGCGCCCAGGCTGTAGAGGAAGAAGAAGGGGAACCAGCAGAGGACGAAGACGCCGATGACCACGGCCAAGACGAAGGTGAAACGTTTCTCCCGGTTGACCTGAGTCTTCCTCCTCCACGGGTTCAGCGCCGGCGGTCGATGTGCCAACACCACCCGCCCCGTCCCGGTGGCCAAGGTGTCCCTGGGGCGTCCCCCGGGCTGCGGGGACCCCCCCGCCCCAGGGCTGGGGGACGTCGGGGGCTCCTCGGGGCTCAGCAGCGAGGTCCTGTCTGCAGGTGGGCCGGTCCCTGGGGCGTCCACGCCGGCCCGGGGGGGGACATTCGGTGGCACCGATCCCGGCGGTTTGGCGCTGGCGGGGCGGGAGCGGTGGCGGCGTTTGGCGATCAGGTAGATGCGCAGGTAGACGAGGATCATGATGAGACACGGGGCGAAGAAGGAGCCGACGCTGGAGGAGAGGACGTACCAGGCCTCCTCGTTGAGCTTGCACTGCGGCCGCTCCCCCGCCGCCGCCTTCTTCTCCCCCTTGTAGACCAAGGGCGGGAGGGAGATGACGGCGGCGATGGTCCAGACGATGAAGATGCTGCACTTGATGCGCCGCGGCGTCCTCTTGGCGTTGTACTCGATGGCGCGGCTGACCGACCAGTAACGGTCCAGGCTGATGGCGCAGAGGTGGACGATGGACGAGGTGCAGAAGAGCACGTCCAAAGCCAGGTAGATCTCGCACCACGTCTTCTCGAAGTACCAGTAGCCCAGGAGCTCGTTGGCCAAGGAGAAGGGGATGATGAGGGTGGCCACCAAGATGTCGGCGGCCGCCAGCGACACCAAGAAGAGGTTCTGGGGCGCCCGCAGCGAGCGGCTGCTCAGCACGGCCAGGATCACCAGCACGTTGCCCGTGATGGTGAAGAGCACCAGGAAGGTGATGGCGGCGGCGATGGCGGCGGTGGCTTGCAC